ACGAAAAGTTTTGATCTTTAAAGAATTGGTGGAATTCCATTGTATATAGATAACATGAGTAAAAAAATTACATAATCTGTCCTATCAAGACAGCCCTTTTTCAGGCATCATATTTTAATAATATGAAGTTAATAGAAATATTATTAGTAAAATAAAAAATAAAAAAATAGAAAATTAAGAAAATATAATTTACAATAGTATATATATATATATATATATATATATATATATATATTATATATACATATAAATGTATATAATTAATTTAATATTATATATCTGGGACAATTGTGATTTATACACAGCCTTCTGTAATTATAAAATTCCCTCTCCCAATAGAAATCTAAGCCCGTTGGGAAATGGGACCTCCCCTCAGGAAGAAGGGACCATTTTAAAGGGCTTAGATTTCATTATAGATCTTATTTAGTCGATTTATATAACTAAATTGTCGACTTTTCAGTTGACTAGGTATTTCAATGAAATTATATAAGTTTACATTTTAGATTCGCCTTAAAAATATATTTTTGTTCTGTTGTGTATAATTTTAGTTGAAAGACTAGGTTACGAGCTCTCTCCTTACATATATTTAAATGTACAGTTTTACCTTCATTTAACGCGGTTTCACTTAACGCATTTTCGCATATACGCGGTGCCTTGCCAAAGCTGAACTTTCACTTAACGCGGATTTTTTCCACATATACGCGGTGAGTGTCCGAGACGCTATTTTTAGATTTGCCCCACCCGCCACCCTGCCTGACTGCCTGTTTTAGCTCATAAAATTCATACAAATTACAAGGCCAGAATATAATTTACATTGCTGGAATTCTACATTTAGATTATTTTAAAATGGCGAAAACATCATATATTTTTGTTTTAAACTTATAAATTTTAGAGAAAATTTTCAGTAATTGTATTTTTAAAAAAAAAGAAGATAATATTTAGGTTCAAAATATTCCTGGTCTTACAAGGAATCCAGCAATGTCAATTATATTATCCTAACTTTAGTTTGAGGTATTATTTATTAAAATTTAGTGGTTATCCCACACATCTCCTTGGGACGGTTGGTGGGGGGTGGGGGGGAGGGAGGGACCAACCGACCATCTGTTACCGTGTGAAGAATTATTATTTTTTTTTATTAACTGAAGATATTTGTTTTAGCTCATAAAATTCATACAAATTACCCGGTCAGAATATAATTTACATTGCTGGAATTCTTATAATTTGGTGATCATTTTGAATATAAACATCATATATTTTGCTTTAAACTTACAATTTTTAGATAAAAAATTTTCTCTAGGTAACTATGGTATCTTTTGTGCAAAATATATGACATTTATATTCAAAATATTCCTGGTCTTACAAGGAATCCAGCAATGTCAATTATATTATCCTAACTTTAATCTGAGGTATTATTTAATACTAAATGTTAAAAACTCTGGAAGGGAGGATTGGTGGGGGGTGGGGGGGAGGGTTGGGACTGACCGCGCGGTTGGAAGAGGGGGGGAGGCAAGGTGGGGTACTTTGATTGACAGATAGTGTCGTGAAGATTATTTTTTTTTTATTAACTGAAGATATTTGTTTTAGCTCATAAAATTCATACAAATTACCCGGTCAGAATATAATTTACATTGCTGGAATTCTTATAATTTGGTGATCATTTTGAATATAAACATCATATATTTTGCTTTAAACTTACAATTTTTAGATAAAATTTTTCTCTAGGTAACTATGTTATCTTTTGTGCAAAATATATGACATTTATATTCAAAATATTCCTGGTCTTACAAGGAATCCAGCAATGTCAATTATATTTTCCTAACTTTAGTTTGAGGTTATCCCACACATCTCCTTGGGACGGTTGGTGGGGGGTGGGGGAGGGAGGGACCGACCGACCATCTGTTAGCCGGCTGTGTAGTGTGAGAGGGGGAGGGAGTTGAGTCCATTATTTGAATGGACATTAACTTGGCGACTGTATTTCTCTATTTCTCTTAAGTATTAATTGTGTGCATGTACCATCATAAAATTAAGATGTTATTTTTACTACAACATAGGTATGTGCCTTCAAAAAGTGGAGTTTGGGGGTCGGGCCGGTTTCTATTGGAATTAATCCCATATGTTCTGTTGTTCACTTAACGCGGATTTCACTTAACGCGGGACCCTCTGGGTTCAATTGACCGCGTTAAGTGGGGTACAACTGTATATATAATTAGAAAAATAGTACAATTTTAAGAAGGTACAAAGTTTTACTTCTGTATGGGAAATCTTCTATTCAACTTTAAGACCAGAACTTTTATTTTCGAGCAAAAAATAGAGGTTTGTGTCAAATTTCTCACAAAATTGAAGTTGCGGGCGCATGGGAGCGACCCATATAGGGTCTCAAATATAAGATTAGAAAAGTTTTTACTAAGTTTCATGAGAATCATGATTTTCCCAACGGGCTCCCTAACTATTTTTTTTCGTGGTAAGTTTATTCTACTGTTGACAGCAAAAAAAGTAAGTGAGGGAGCTAGTTGACATTCTTAACTAGCTCCCTAACTTGTATTTTTGTTGAAAATCATAATGATACAAAATTAAGAATGATTTTAGCTGCTTAGTTCGCTGGATTTTGGCAAAAATTTTTATTTAAATATGGTAGTTTTAATAAGATTATTTATAATGAAGGCAAATTCTCATTTTTTTTTTTTTAAATTGAAGTTGCGGGCGCATGGGAGCGACCCATATGCGGTTTCAAATTTTAAAATACTTATATTTTAATTAAAAAAAAATCATAATCAAAATTTCTGTTTTTAGTATATTGACGCGTTTTGAAGCAGACCGGCACTTTTAAAAATTTAATTTTCTGGTTTGAAATATGTAGATATATTACTATAACTCAAATATTTTGTTTAAGGTTAGGAAGTTAGTGGAGAGTGCTAACTAACTCAGAACTTCATTTTGTTGTTAGGGAGTTAATTAGCACTTCTAACAAACTTCATAACAATTTTCGATTTTGTCGGAGTTTCTTTTGAAGCTGCATGAAATGGTGTTTTACCTTCATAATTTTTTAGCTTGATTTGGGCGTGGGACAGATTTTTTTGGGTAATAAATAACTGATATAATTTGTTTAATTATTTATATTTATAATCATATTTATATTGTTAATTTTAACGTTGATAACAAATTTCTTTAATTTTAGTACGTTTATTTAATCGTCAAAAATTAAAAAATACTATTTGTACACTCATGGAAGTTTGATTCTTGCTTGATACTGTAGTGGCTACTCTCCCCTACAACTTCCAACTGAGCTCCGGCCGCACTCCGACCAGCCAATCAGAGTGCAGCCAGCTACGCCGAGAGACTAGGTCTATGCAGAGGACGTAGGGGTACGATCGCCGACCTAGTCTCGACCATCAACCTCCAGTTCAGGATCAGAGCGTTTCACACCTTACGCTGGAGCCGCTGTGATTGGTCACCTCGCTACGCGCACCCCAGATCCTGATCCTGGTAAATTGTATAAATACGGCAACGCCTGCCCAGGGAGGACATCCTACACTCAACTACTGGACCAGCAACATCTCTCTCAGCTCCTCACCTAGTCACTCCTAAGCACTGCGCTGTACAACAATATATATACAGGAAGCGCATCGTGAGTTTCTATCCAACCTCATTCCTGAGTGAAGGTATCTACATGTACGTACGTTTGTGTGCCCATACAAAGAGATAATAGACAACTAAAGAGAATTGACAACTGGCCACTTACAGTACACTACATTGGTGACCCCCGGAGCCGTGAATACCACACTCCATTCTGCTGCCTTACTACTTGAGCTGAGAAGATCGTCCTGCCTGCTGCCAGCCTAGGCCAACCGCCTCCCTGCACCACCCACCACTCTCACAACAGACGCTTCTTCTACTGCAGTGGGCGCCGTCTTACAGCAGGAGATCAACGGAATTCTCATGCCCGTTGCTTTTTTCTCACAACGGCTTCAACCACCACACCTCAAGTACAGCGCCTTTGATCGAGAACTCCTGGCCATATACCTGGCTGTCAAACATTTCCAGCACTTCCTCGAGGCCCGTCAGTTCACCATCTTCACTGATCACAAGCCCCTCGTCCACGCCTTCGCTTCAGCTTCCCAGTCACATACACCTCGTGTCCTGCGCCACTTGGCTTACATCTCAGAGTTCTCCAGCGACGTCCAACACATTAAAGGCAGCCACAACGAGATCGCCGACGCCCTCTCTCGTTGTGTATCCAACATTCTTCCCTCATCTCCACCCATTGACTATGGGCAGCTAGCCGCGGCTCAAGAGAAGGACGAAGACCTGGCAAAATACAAGACATCCCCCTCAAGCCTCACACTCCAAGAACTCCCTGTTCCTGGCACAAAGACAAAATTGTGGTGCGACATATCCTGTGGGCATCCTAGACCGTTCGTGCCTCATGTCCACCGCCGCACTGTGTTCGACCGCATCCATGGTCTCAGCCACCCGGGTGTGCGGGCCTCCCAGCGCCTCCTCACGCAACGTGTCATCTGGCCCGGCATCAAGTCCGATACTAAGAAATGGGCTGCCCAGTGCCTGGCCTGCCAATCCTCCAAAGTACATCGTCACATACGGGCCCCCTTACATACTTTCCCTATTCCCAAAGGACGTTTTCAAGTAGTACACCTCGACATCGTGGGACCTCTTCCATCATCCTACGGCAGCACCTACATCTTCACCTGCATCGACCGTTTCACCAGGTGGACAGAAGCAATTCCCATGCCCAATGCTACAGCAGAGACTACTGCCCGCGCCTTCATGTCCGGTTGGGTTTCCCGTTTCGGCCCCCCCGCAACCGTAATCACTGACCGAGGAGTCCAGTTTGAGTCACAACTCTGGCAGCACCTCCTACAGTTCCTCGGCACGTCTAGACAACGCACTACAGCATACCACCCTCAAGCCAACGGCATGGTAGAGCGTTTTCACCGGCAGCTAAAAGACGCACTCAAGGCACAGCACGACCCTTACAGCTGGACTGACGCGCTTCCCTTAGTGCTCCTCGGCATCCGTGCGTCACACAAGGAGGATATGGACTGTAGCCCAGCAGATCTTACACTAGGCGAGCCCCTTCGGCTACCTGGGGATTTCTCACTCCCTCCTAACCCTCACCAAACCACTCCAGCCGGTCGTCACGATTTACTCCAAAAGCTACGACAAGCAGTTTCTGCATTCAGAGCTACTACTCCACGCCAGCCTCCTCGGCGCCCTGAATACATCCCTCCTGCACTACTCACAGCCGAGTATGTTTTCGTCAGGCGTGATGCTCATCGCCACCCATTACAACGTCCCTACGATGGACCTTTCCAGGTGGTTACCCGTTCAGCAAAGTTCCTGACGATTATCCGGAATGGCAGACATGACACCGTCAGCATAGACCGAGTCAAACCGGCCACCTTACCCGTCGGGCCCCCAGCCCAGCAGCACCATCAACAAACTACGCCTGCACCAGTCTACCCGCAGTTACTACCGGCAGCAACACCACGCCCACGACATTTCTGGGCACCCTCTTTTCACCCTCAAGTAAACCCTGTTCCTGACATAGAACCTGCACCTATCATAGAACCTGTACCTATCATAGACCCTCCTCCTGTCATAGAACCTGAACCTGTATTAGACCTCCCTCCTAACATAGAACCTGCTCCTGCCATGGACCCTCCTCCTGACATACAACCTGCACCTATCGTAGAACCTGCTCCTGCCATGGACCCTCCTCCTGACATACAACCTGCACCTATCGTAGAACCTGCTCCTGCCATGGACCCTCCTCCTGACGCAGCCCCTGCAGCAGCAGGAGCACAACAACCACTGCTTGTACAACCTCCTCTAATCCCAAACCCTCTTTCTCCTCCTAATTCTCCCACAGGTTTTGTGTCACTGGAGGGAGTTGTTACACGTAGCGGCCGAGTCGTACATACACCTGCCCGGTATGTGTTATGTGTGAGACACAACCCAGACAACATCCAGCCTCCCGCTGCGCCGGGAGGGGAGGGGGAGTATTGTAGTGGCTACTCTCCCCTACAACTTCCAACTGAGCTCCGGCCGCACTCCGACCAGCCAATCAGCGTACAGCCAGCTACGCCGAGAGACTAGGTCTATGCAGAGGACGTAGGGGTACGATCGCCGACCTAGTCTCGACCATCAACCTCCAGTTCAGGATCAGAGCGTTTCACACCTTACGCTGGAGCCGCTGTGATTGGTCACCTCGCTACGCGCACCCCAGATCCTGATCCTGGTAAATTGTATAAATACGGCAACGCCTGCCCAGGGAGGACATCCTACACTCAACTACTGGACCAGCAACATCTCTCTCAGCTCCTCACCTAGTCACTCCTAAGCACTGCGCTGTACAACAATATATATACAGGAAGCGCATCGTGAGTTTCTATCCAACCTCATTCCTGAGTGAAGGTATCTACATGTACGTACGTTTGTGTGCCCATACAAAGAGATAATAGACAACTAAAGAGAATTGACAACTGGCCACTTACAGTACACTACAATACTGTACTTTTACGTTATAACTGGTAAATACATGTAAATAATTGTGGGGAAAAAAGAAAAATAAGTAAATTTATTAAAAATAAGTTTAATTAAAAAGTAGAAATTGTGTTAAGAAAATTAAAATCACAGTATAAAATATTAAATTATGGGCGGTAGCCTGATTTGGTAGTTATAAGAAGTCTGACTAAGTTTTGTGCCAGCAGTCGCGGTTACACTTTAAGATTAAGTAAAAGTAATTTAGTTAACAGTTAATTAAAAATTTATAAGTTAGTTTAGTTTATTTTAATAAAAGGTAAAATTAGATTGTTAATTAGTAAATTAAACTAGTATATAATACAGATGAAACTGTAGATGCCGGGGTATGAACTAGGATTAGATACCCTATTACACCTGGGAGTAAAATTTAAATGCTTGAATATTAATAGTTATATTCTTTAAAATCAAAGAATTTGGCGGTATTTTAGTCTTGTTAGAGGAACTTGTTCTATAAACGATAAAACACGCAGAATCTTACTTATCTTGGTAAATTTTACAGTTTGTATACCGTCATTATTAAATAATCTTGAAAAAGTTAATTATTGGGATTAAAAAATTAAATATATTAGATCAAGGTGCAGCTGATAGATAAGTAGAAATGAGTTACAATAATATTTATTTATAACGGATTGAAAATAGAATTATTTTTAAAGAAGGTGGATGTAATTGTAAAAAAAGTTTAATAAGCTTTTTTGGTATAAGCTCTAAATTATGTACATATCGCCCGTCACTTTCATTTAAAATGAAATAAGTCGTAACATAGTAGGTGTACTGGAAAGTGTCCCTAGAAATAATCGAAATAAAGCTTTATAGTTTAGCATCTCACTTACGTTGAGAAGGTTTATCGTGCAAATCGATTATATTTTGAGTATTATAAATCTTTGCTATTGTTATTTAGTGTTAGAATATAAATGAGAAAAATATTTTTATATAAAAGGAGTAAGTAGAAATCTAAAATTTTGAATCGAAAACTGAGATAAAGGCTAGAGTTAAAAGTATTGTAAAAGAATAGTGAAATAAATGAAAATTTAATAATAAGAAAGCAAAAGTAAATTTTTGTACCTTGTGTATCAGGGAAAATTAAAATTTTAAAAGTAGTTTTTTGATCCCGAAAAAGGAAGAGCTAAATTGATAAAAAGGTTATTGTGGCATAAATATCTTTAATATCAATTTAGTGATGACATGTTAAACGATTCCTTTGATATCTGGTTTTTAGAGAAATGAATTTAATTCAGTTTTAATATTTAAGGAAAGTTAAATGTAAGAATAGGAGGGTTGAGCTTCTTATTCAAAATATAAAAAAGTATAGAAGAAATTTATTTAATAGTTGAATTAGGCTTAGAAGTAGCCATATGAGTAAAGTGTTTTAACTAATTTTTGAGTTAAAGTTATTTATATTCTTCTTGTAGTTGTATCTAAAAATGTTGATAATCTTTGTATTTATAGATAAAATGATTTTATTAGTAGAAAATTTTGTAAATAGTAAAATATTAAAAAATTAATAAATTTTAAATATTGATTGGTGTGGGTTAAGGAACTCGGCAAATAAAGCTTCTGCCTGTTTATCAAAAACATGTCTATATGATGGTTTATAAAGTCTAACCTGCCCACTGGGATCAAACTAAAGGGCCGCGGTATTTTAACCGTGCGAAGGTAGCATAGTCATTAGTCTCTTAATTGGAGGCTTGTATGAATGGTTGGACAAGAAGCAAACTGTCTCAAACACAAAAATCGAATTTGACTTTTAAGTGAAAAGGCTTAAATATTTTAAAGGGACGATAAGACCCTATAAAGCTTAATAATTTAGTATACAATTAGATGAGTTGAAAGTTTAATATTATTTATATACTAAATTATTTCGTTGGGGCGACGATGATATAATTTGTAACTGTTTAAATTTAAAATACAGAGATATTTGTGTGTAATGATCCTTGTTGTTGATTAAAAATTTAAGTTACTTTAGGGATAACAGCGTTATTTATTTTGAGAGTTCATATCGACAAAAAATTTGCGACCTCGATGTTGAATTAAAAATTCGCCATGGCGTAGGAGTTGTGGAGGTAGGTCTGTTCGACCTTTAAATTTTTACATGATTTGAGTTCAAACCGGCGTGAGCCAGGTTGGTTTCTATCTTTTAAGAAAACAAAAATTACTTTAGTACGAAAGGATTTAGTAATTAAAATAATTTTTAAGTGTAGATTAACTATATTACTTTGGCAGATGTGATGCATTAGATTTAGGATGTAATTAGATAGAGTTTTCTATAAGTAATAAACATTTATTCAGAAATGTTTGAATAAAACAGTTTGTGATGGCTTTAGTTATATTTGTGAGTTATTTAATTTTAATTATTTGTGTTCTTGTGGATGTTGCATTTGTTACTTTGTTAGAACGTAAAATTTTTAGGGTATATTCAAATTCGTAAAGGACCAAATAAAGTTGGTTTTATTGGACTGCTACACACACACCCTCCACTGCCCAGTGTAGGAGCATTGTCGAGTGGTTTATTGGATAAAGATATTAGCTAAGATATACTGTACAAGTAACTTAACTGATGAGGCTGAAGTAACATGCTGGTAGTTAAATCTTGCTCGAGGTTCTGTCACTTCTCCATTGGCCTTCACGTACATCAGCTGTTACCTGCAACGTGTTTGAAGTTGTAATTTACGTATAATGAAAATTAACTTGCAAATAGATCACATGTACTTAAACTGTCCCCAACTGTTTACATAAATCATTACCTCCACATTAGTTTACACTATACTGTACTGTACTGTACTACACTGCTTCATGCACTATACACAAGGTTTATTACAGCTGACTAGACCTTCCCACCCTCATGCCCCCTTAAGTGTCAACACCCCGCACCCTCACAAAACGTTATATGACCCAACAACAAGCCACACCCGTTGTGTATTGTGAGAAGCTTCACTCGTGGTCTGTTGTCCCCACAAATATGCCTCATGGTCTAGGTCAACCAGCGCCGCCATACACCACGGAGCGGGGGTCAACTGCTAAGCCACGCCTACCCCCGCTATTTAAGACCTAACCTCGTGGTTCTCTCTCTCTTGCTACCTACAGCCGCAGCCAGCAACACCTCCTCCTCCGCCTGCCTGGCGGTCCTCTCTCCCGCTGGCGAGCATGGCGACCCACAAGCTGTCCTTCTCTGAGCATCCTCACCAACCAGCTCTCTCTACATCACGCTTGTAACCATGCTGCAGCACCAAGCTGCATTGTACATCCAATACAACGATTTCAATCCAAACCAAGCACTAAATCATAAAAAAACATGAACAAGGCATAAGAACAAATGCGGCATGTCGACATCAACATATTTAAAGAAGTGAAAGTGAGAGACAAATCTACAAGAGTGTTTAAAAGTAGATCCCTAATTGCAGAAACTGAGAGGTTACTTATCATCTGGATTAGGGAAAAACAGATGAAAGGTGATTCAGTTTCTACTGAATTCATTTGTGAAAGAGCCAGATTTTCGGGCCAGCAAAGGCTGGTTCGAAAAATTTAAGAAAAGAAGTGACATTTTCAGTGTTGTTAGGCATGGTGAAGCTGCTAGTGCTGATAAGGAAGGGGCAGCAAAGTTTTTAGATGAATTTTTTAAAGAACTGATTGAAGAAGAAAATTATCTTCCACAGCAAGTGTTCAATGTGGACGAAACTGGGCTGTTCTGGAAAAAGATGCCCAAAAGAACATTCATCACCAGAGATGAAGCCTCTTTACCGTAAGAACAAAGCTTGGAGTTTATTGGAAGGCCAACCATAAGGCATGGGTGACAAGATATCTCTTTAATGAATGGGCTGTTGATGTGTTTTGCCCTTCTGTCAAGAGCTACCTAACCGCCAATAAACACCATTTATAGGCTCTTCTCCTCATGGACCAGAAAGTGATCAGCAACTTCAAGAAGTTGTACATGAAGAAAATGTTTAGGTGTCATCAAGCAACTTCCAACGATCCTGAACTAACATTTAAACATTTCTGGAAGACACAATTCAACATCCTGGAGGCTGTAAAATTGATTGTGTCATCATGGCAAGAATTCTCCACTAGATCCCTCAATTTGAGGAAGAAACAGAGTTGGACCAGGAGATTGTGTCCATTGGTCAGTCATTGGGCCTTGAAGTGGAGGAGGAGGATGTGGAAGAGCTTGTGATGTCTCATGAGGAGGAACTTACTCCTGATGACCTGAAGCAACTGGATGAGATGTTACAGGTAGAGGCACCCAGACCACAATTGACACTTTCTTCAGAGGGAACAATATGCTATCCCTCAGGATGTCCAAGAAGCAGTAAAATGCTTCTCCTCCACCTCCCCTTCCTTATCTTTTCCCTTCTCCTCCTCCACCTCCCACTTCAGATTCACCTCATCATCATCATCATCCAGGAGCCTTCTACATACACACATCAAAGTAAGTGAACTTTTCTACCTTTTTTGTTGAAACAATGGTTTCGGTTAACGAGCAACCTGCTGGAACGGATTGTGCTCGTTAACTGAGGGACCACTCCATGGGTGCAACATCTTTGTCAATGGTGATATAAGCTTCATAACCCTTTATACCCTTAACAAATAAAATCTTGTATTTTTCAAGACATGAAACACTGTTACACATTCTAACACTAAATAACTCCTTCCAGTTCATCTCAAGTTCACACAACCAGTTCTTACCTAACAAAGTTGGTCTATTCACATAACTAACTATAATTAATGGCAACTTTAAATTCAAATTTTAAATGAAGATTCAGTGGATGTAAAAACTCACAGGATAAATCACAAAAGACTATATTTAACCTTCCGATGTTCAAGATATGTACTCGTTTTTTTAATAGTTTTCGGTTAAAATACGGTTATATTAGTGATATTCTATTCATACTGTGCTTGATATAATACATTCATGGAAATGTAATATTCTTGCAACTTCAATGCTGATGTCAACACAAGCGTGGTTACGGCGAGACTGACTGAGTGAGGGAGAGCTATGCATGTGTGTGTGAGGCTGCGGGAGCGGGCGGTGTGCCGTGTTCGGTGCCGTGTATGCTAAACCCGCGTATGTTAAGGGCCGACTGTACCAGATACCCGTACAGAGAAATGGTTATTACAAATCATTCATTCCTCCCAACTGGATACCATGGTAGATTACTTTTAAACTCTTCAAGCTGGTTTCCTCTTAATTTCTTACTTGTCTAGTTATTTCATTTCATATAATTATTCCATAACTTCTGATCTTTGGTAGCGTGGCTCGAAGGTTATGACACATGGGTACATTGTAATTCTGGTATTTAGCAATGGGAAAGAATAATGGCAAAATACAGTTTATAGTTTATTAAAATTATAAAATGGTTTATTAAAATTAAGTTACATTTATTGAATAATTTCAGTAACACTCAACTACAGTATGGCAGTCCCTGGTGGGTGGAGCCTAATACAAGTAGTATCCGATATCACCCATTAGATTCTCAAAGATACCCAATAACTGGACTTACAGTCTCAGATCGGTAAACACAGATGGTATACTAAAAACAAATATAAGAGGCTTGAGTGTTTGTATTTGTTGCATTTTATTTTCTTACAAACTTTTCAAGTATTTTTTACAAAAACAGAAGGTTTGTATTGTTCACCTATTTTCTTACATAGGCTAGCCCAAATTCAATGATATTAGGTGTAAAATATGGATTGCAATTAACTTGATTAAGCTTTTTCAGTCTTAGCCAAATAAATGTTTAAACTTGGGGCCAAGTTAAATTAATTAGAACATGAAGAATAATTACATAGGTTAGATTATGTTATGTTATGTTAGAGAAAGTGTGTACATGGCAATATTGGTGAGTGTCAGGCTGTCAGTGAGTATTAATTCTCGATATAGTTTCAGGATTTAATTTTTTTTTTTTTTTTAACCAAATTACCCAGACATCGAAGGGAAAACACCACGATCTAGGCTAAATCTGTAATTTAAGAGAAATGATTTGTCATTTAGGTTAGGCAAGGCTATGCTATCAATAACAAATTTATTTGAAGTGGCCCAGAATAAGGTTATCTTAGTCTAGCTTGTGTGTCTTGTCACAGGGCAACATTAAGCCAGGGGTTAACGCAAATTCTATGAAGGGTAAAACACCAAATACTGTGAGCACTTACGTGAATGAGAGTTTTCTGGGTAACAAGACGATTAACCAGAAAAAATTCCTCATCCCCAGAATGTTTATGGTAATAGAAAAATGATTTCGTTAGTTCCTGAAATTGCCAATTAGATCAACTCTCGAACCCAGAGAAATATCCCCCATCTCCGGATTTTTATCTGTTACCTGGGAATCTTTTCTCATAATTTTCCAGAAAATGTTCCCCTCTGAAATTCATTACCTAAGCCAATATCTAACTTAGGGAAGCATAAGCCAGAGGGTTGGAAAAGTATGTTGAGTGAATTACCATGTATAGAGGCTGGATCTAAGAGTTGAAGAACTGCTTCTTCAATTGTATTTTCAATTTGGGGCCGCCACCTTCAATAGAAAAAAATAAATAAAAACTGTCTTACTTATTTGGCAGGATTCATACAGTTAGAAAGGAATCTATTGAAATAGTTCCAAACATTATAACCTAACC